AGGAGAAAAGTATGTGAAGTTATCTACTTTATCTATGTAAGAGACTGAATTTATAATGCAGTGGTTCTCAAATTGTGGTCCCTGTATTTATTAGAAATGCAAATTCTCGGATTCTACCCATGACCCATTAAATCATAAACTCTGATGACGGGGCCTAGCAATCTGTGTTTTAACTAGACTTGCAGGAGATTCTGATGTACTCTAAGGTTTAGAGCTACTGGTATATTTTTTGTATACCAGTTTATTATAACCATTTGTTATTAGAACTGGCCTATATTCCTTTTTAGTCTCTTTTTCCAGTCTACTTCAACTCAGCCCTATTCTCATTTGGGAAAAGATACTAGGCTAAAAAAAAAAATTAATAAGATTGCTATTATTTTTTTCTTCATCCTCTGTATCTTTTGTTGAGATCCAACAGATAGGTTGTGTTCACACAACAGATTACGTGGACTCCAAGAGATACAGCTTCTGTTTAATCGACTATGGCATCCCTCATTGTGTGACTTTTGGCACGGAGTTATTTGACTTCTTTGTGCTTGAGGGTCCTCAGTTATGACACAGATGTTTAGTAGGTAGTTGTGATGAATTAAGTGAGATGATCATGTATGCAAAACATTTTACACAGTGCCTGGTACATAATAAACTTTATAAATGGTTGAGAAACTATTTTTTATTAGGAAACTCCTGCCACCAATTGATTTTTGTCACATTTTTCCTATGGAAAAGGAATTAAGATAGGAAAAGCATGATAGCAAAAAAAGAAAAACAGGAAGGAAACCAGGAAAAAAAAATATAAAATGAATTGTTTAAACGTTTAAACTAACAGTGCTAATTGTATTCAGAATTCGTATCTATTCATTTTAACTAATATTAATTGGAAACAAAGCCAAAAATCCAGGGAAGATTTTTTTTTTTTTTACCTATGTGTTCCACCTTTTCCAGTTTTCACTCCTGCATAACGTCAATATGAGTTTCAGGTTTCCTCAAGATGGCAGCCATACTTTTCCTTTCGTAGAATTAGAAATAAAAATTTAAAATGTTTTGCTCTTTTGTAGGCATTTATAGGTGCATGAGCTGCCCAGTGATGTTTAGGACAATAATAGACCACATATGCAATGGTGATCCTATAAAATTATAATACTGTATTTGTACGTTTTCTATCTCTAGATGTGTTTAGATACACAAATACTTGCCATTGTATTACAGTTGCATACAGTATTAAGTATAGTAACATCCTGTACAGGTGTGTACCCTAGAAGTAATAGGCTATACTATATAGCCTAAGTGTGTAGTTGACTGTACCATGTTGGTTTGTGTAAGTATACTCTATGATGTTCACAACATTGAAATCACCTAACAATGCATTTCTTAATGTACTTATTTCTGTGTGATCAAAATATTTGAAAGCCCATGATTTAGTGGAAGTGATTGAGGCTGTGGATTGTCAGACTGTGGTCCAAATCCCAGGTCTGCCATTTACTGTTAATTTCAGCAAGTTGCTGAACCTCACAGAACCTTTTTCCTTACCTCAGTAAAACAGAGACAGTAGTTTCTACTCCATGAAATTCTTCATGCAAAGCTAAATGAAATACTGTAATGTGTCTGGCACATGATAGGTGTTTGATAAATTCTAGTTCCTTTTCATCTGTACTTCTGTACGTTTCTTTTCACTGTGGACTACTTAAGAAGGTGTAGGTGGGGCCAAATTTTCAACAAGAAGCAACGTCAGATGGGCTTGAACTTGTGAACGGTTACTCAGATGAACTCTTTAGGGTTTTGTGTTACAGAGCATTAGAAGAGTTAGTTTTTCTTCAGAAATGACCACCATTCAAAAAATCACTAGCTTTGAGGAAAGCATCTCTTTCTTGTGGAACCTAAAAGCAACTATTGGATTGTTGAGCAAGATGGCTGCCTAGAGGTGCCTAGTGCTCATTATCTCCATAAGAAAAGACCAAAACAATGAACAAACAGCTTAAATTGACTAGAGGATTTGAAGGAGAGCACTGGAGTACAACAAGGGAGTGGTGAAATCCCTGTGGAGCAGAGAAACACAGAATGACAGCATAAAGGGGCAGTGAAACACTGTGCCTCTACTGCCTTGCCTCCCCTTTTGGGACCAACTTAGAGTGAAGAGGGACTTCCCTTTGGGGGGAAAAAGTAAGCAGGAGGCCACCAATAGCCTCTTTGACCACTGCAGACACCTACAGTCCTCATAAGCCCTGAGCCTAGTTTGGGAGCTTTGTGGAATTCACATGGCCACATTGCTTCAGAGGAACCCATGTTGTACAACTCCACCACTTTGTGACCTAAGACACCATCTTAAAACTAGAGCCAGTGTTGGAGTGCCCTCTGCTCTGAAGACCAGTAGCCACTGTGTCTCTCCAGTGCTGAGGCTCCACTGTCATTCCACTATGCTCACATGAGTGACTGCAACACTATGACCCCAACTGCTCAGAGCCTGGGACCAGGAACAGTTGTGAATCTGGCACTAGAGCCCATGCAGTGAGCTCACCCCCAAACCAGCCTGAGAACCAGCTTGGTAAATCCACCTACAGCCAAGCCATGCCACCACCACCTCTTACAGCCTAGGCCACTGAGGCACTCACAGACATCACTGACATGGATTACAGCTGAAGAAACTGCATAGAGATTATACTGCTACATCCACCCAAAACCAAAACCAATGCACCCTACCCAGCTTATACCCTAGGACCCATCTACAAGAATAAGTCTTCCCTTATAAAAGCTACTCCATAAAATTGGAAGGGGCGACTATTCCACCAAATTTTCAGATTTCATTATGGGACACAAACATGATAAGCTGGGAAATATGACAGCCCTAATGGACCATCATAATTCTCTAGTAACAGAACCCAAAGAAGAGGAAATTTACAAAATGCCTGAAAAGGAATTCAAAATAAAGAGATATTTTTTAAAGGAAACTCAGGAAGATACAGGAGAATACAGATAAACAATTCAGTGAAATCAGAAAAGAAATTATAATCTTAATGAGAAGTTCAACAAAGAGATATTATAAAAGAACACCAAACAGAAATCTTAGCATTGAAGAACTTAATAAGTGAAATGAAAAATATAATGGAGAATTTCAACAACAGAAGAAAGAATTTCTAAACTTGAAGACAGGTCTTCTGAAATAACCCAGAGGAAAAAAATGAAGTAAGAATAAAAAAGAATGCAAAAAGCTTGTAGGACTTATGGGACACCAAATTAAGTGAACAAATATTCTCATATTATTTACAGAAGGAGAAAAGGTGGAGGAAGGCACAGAGAACATATTTAGCAAAATAATAGACTTCCCAAGTCTTGAGAGAGATATTGACATCCAGATCTGGAAAATTCAAGGGTCCCCAAATAGATTCAATTTAAAAAGTCCTCTCCAAGATACATTATAATCAAACTGTCAGAAGTCAAAGTCAAAAAGAGAATTCTAAAAGCA